TTTAGAACCCATTTAAATTAAATTTCTTGTGGATCCTGGAAGGTGTCAGTTAGTTGGGATTTATATCCCTGTGAAAGCAGAAGAGAGGGTTGCTTATGTCCTTCCCCTTCCCATTGTGGAATGCTGTTTGACACTGGTTTGTTACTTCTGCACCTTAGATTATCTGACAAGTTGCTTTCGTTTTCACCACTTACCTAAGCATTCTAACAAAATGCATTTGTTATAACAAAATAGCATTCAATACATTTTGTTACATTAATTACTGCTTCTAATATTTTAAGAAAAAGCTATATTTAGATTATTTGATGTATGGTTTTTCCTTATCCTTGTGCTCTATTTGACTGTCTAGTTAAATATATGGAGGGCTCTCTTTACTTTGCTGACAAGCTAGTTGCTACATCTTCAAAGGCTCATGCTACGTTCACTCAGGCATAAGCTTCTGTGGGCTGCTGCTTTAGCTACGCTTCTGCAACTTTGGCCTAGGCCTCTTAAAACAGACAAGCCTGGCAACAACACATCACATTGACTTATAGATCTTACAACAACCTGTTGACACACTGCTGATTATCTCAAGGATTCTTCCTATGAAAAAGATCAATATCACAATGTGTTGTAATCATGATGGCCCAAGGATATGAGGGGAAGTAAGATATGTGAAGTGAGATAATAGCTTTTATTAGGCCATCTTGAATAGCTAGGAAAAATGTCAGCCAAGCTTTTAGTTATTAATCATGACAACACTGATATCCAACCCAAACATATTGCTAAATTCATCCACTTCATCCTCACCTACAACAATTTTACCTTTAATGAGCAACATTTCCTCCAATGGGCATAGCTATGGGCACAGAGTCACTTCCACCCCTAAAATTTCACCTCATCCTGAGACACTTTGAAGAAAAGAAAAAAAAAGTACAAGCAAACCAATGCTGTATCTGTGATATATACATGGCATCTTCAATGACAGGTTAAATAACTACTCACTGTTCCATCAAATTCTCTATGAAATACTCTCACACCAATAGCTAATTTCTAAACACCATCAATATAATGAATGGCATATAAAAACAATATCCTCCAAATAACCATACATAAAACTCCCAATGACTACCACACTTAAGGCCACAAAATCAGTCATCCTAAACATGAAATACAGCTATGATTTGTAGTCCGTCTCACAGGTTCCATCACATTTGCTTTGAGGAGAATATATGTGATTGGTGATGTGGCAATCTGAAAACTGTATTTATCCAACAAGGACACTCTGCCAGAGAAATAGACTGAGTCTATGAATGAGCCACCTGAATAAACAATATAGAACCTACCAAAAGGCATACAAAAAACTGCCACTTACTGCAAATCCCTGATTTGACAGACTATCCCACACTGGAATATGTAAAAAAGATGATTAAACAACTGTAGCACATACTTGAAGAACACACCCTGAAATATTTTTTCCCAGTCTCCCTCTTTCAAATGGCTCCCTACCATTGTCAAACTTTGTGCTGACCAACAAACACCACATGAAACCAGAATTTGCCAGATGAGTGTAAAACCTGCCCATACATCTCTGCTTCCCCAGCCTCAATCAATGAATCTCACAAGAAAAACAACACAGGCCAGAGATCGTTCATATGCTTATATGAACGTGATATACCTGATGGTCCTCCATCAATAAGCTCTTGATGAGCAGTCCCCAGGTCTGATAATTCATGGTGAGACTCCAGAGAAGATTTGAGTATTTCCCATACCTCAGAAGCCATCTCTTGTGGAAGGCTGGCATTGATAAAGAAATCCAACATCACCTCAAATGTGCAGCCTTCAAATGCCTGAGGGTGCTTGATGATTGTGAAATAAGATCCAAAACCTAGCTCATGGTTTATCAAGCAGTCATGAACCCACCTTACTGTATGGAGCTGAGAGGTGAAGACACCTCAAGTTGCTGGAGAAGTACCATCAATGCTGCCTGCGGAAGATCCTGAAATCCAATGAGAAGACAGATGCACCAGCATTAGTGTCCTCTCACAAAAAAACACCATGAACATTGAGGCTATGATCATTGAACATCAACTTTGCTGGGCCAGCCACATCATCCGGATGTCTGACTCAATACTCCCAAAGCAAGTTTTATTTTCCAAACTCAGTCAAGGCATACACTCAACAGGAGTGTCAACTTGAAAAAGTGCAACATTGACATCAACTTGTGGGAGACTTTCCCAGGACTGCCCCAAATGGAGGAAGACTCTGCTGCAGGGATCTTAGTACTCTGAAATCTTACAACAGGAGATGGAAAAGCAGGAGCAACAGAAACAGTATGTCACAGACTGAATCAAGAATCTGGAGCTACCCACCCTGCATGGAAATTGCAACAGATCCTGCATCAGCCTTGTCAGCCATATTCAGACCTACAGATACGACAGTCATGGAACACAATCATTTTTGACTTTGAGGGATTGCCAAAAAAGAGAAGAAGATGCATGATGTAATGCACCAGGTGTCCTCTTGGAAACTGTGGGTGAAACCAAGCAACCACTATAGTCGAGAATAAATTCCCACAGCAAAATTACAAAGGACGGAAATATCCTATCACTACTTGGACTACACTTTTCATATAGCAACCACTTCATCTCTAACTTTGCAGTCCTTGTCGCCACAGGAAACCTATAAAATGCCTTCAAAAGTTGGGCTCAATAACAGATATTCATATTTTTTCCAGACATCAACAAATAGGTACTAACAGAGTCACTGGTTTTATGGCTTATTTTAACTTTCCTCTCACCCTTCCTAACTGCTAACTTCTTTGCTTCACAGATGATAATTGCCACTTCCCTTTCAAGTGGTCAAATTAGGTTTAAGGTAAAGTAATTGTTCTAACTTAGCTTGGATTGATGAAGGGTACTTGATGCCTGAAAGATTCTGACAGGTCTCCCAACTATACAACTTGGTCCAATAAAATCTATTACCTCAACTCATAAAACTTAGTTCTCTGAGATACCACCAAGGTACTTCAGGATCAACTAGAAAAGAAAAGGGGCTAGGAAACATAAAGCCACTGTTTTAATAAAAAACTTAGACATAAAATTATACAAGAAAATTACAGAAGAAATATGAGGCAAGTAAATTTGTGTTTGACGGATGTAGTTGATTTTTTTCTCTATTAAGTGTAAATGAAATTTATCTTGTCTAAATGAGTATCATTTATAAAGCACAAATCTGGTTTTCTCATTGATGTTACAGAGCTGAATTAATTTTAAGAATCTCTGGCCTTCTGGGAGTGAATGTAGCCTAACTAATTCCATTCTTTAAAGCTAATTGTATTTGAATTTGTCAGTTAGCTACAACCAAATATAAAAGGACCAGCTTCAGATATACTTCTGTAGAATCCTTCTACAATATTTTCCATTTAAAATAAGCAGACAAGGTTCTTTGGGTAAATCTGGTATCTTTTATAAATTTGAGTTGGTCTAATAAAAGATACCGGATTTACCCAAAGAACCTCATCTGCCTATGTCCTTAAACCAACATGGCTACAACCTACAGCTTTAAAATAATGTATGTATCTCATGTAATAGAAGAAAAGAAAAAAAGTAAAAAGAAGCTAACTTTCTCAAATGAAGTTTTCTAGGAATGGCACCTTTTTGTTTACTCCCAAATTACAGAGCAGCCAGTAATGAGGAGGAAAATCACTAATGTTATATAAGCACTAACAATATTGCCTTTCCTATTATTCTCATGTAGGTGAAATTAATTCATGTGTAGAGGTCTGGAATAATTTCGAGTCTCATTTAGGCCCTAAATGGAGAATTTAAGAGGTACAAGAGCCTACTTCTCAATCTCTGCATAATGATGTCCTTTCCCCCTCATATTGATTTCAATAGTTGCTGCTGGTATGCAGCACCTCATAAGATTAAGTCATAATCTACAGTGCATAAACCCATTAGCAGAAGGAGACTGATTTGTTTTATTGTACTTTCTTCAGTCTACTCATGAATTAGATGCATGCACAAAAAACCTATTTTTAAAAATTAACAACCAATCTGTATTTCAAAAATTGTTTTAAAAAATCTAAAAAGAAACAGTCTGTCCTTCTAGTCTGACATTGTTAGGGTAACACTATGTAGATTTTTGGGGAGCACTAGATTTGCAACTGAATGAAGGCTATTACCTGTGGCCTAGCAGGAACTGCTGACCACAAGGCAGAATGATATCTAAATCAGCCATTTGCTCATGCTAAGTAACCATCTTAGTTGTGTTAACCATTTTTCTGAGAAAAAGCAGCAAGTGAGTCTGTGTGCTGTGAATGAGGTGACGTTTTAGGAATGTAGAAGATGGTACAACCTGAGACAGAAAAACAGACTGGAATGTGAAAAACAACACATAACTGGTAACAGAATCCAAGATGAATATATGCAAAAGGGTGAATGGTGATTGGTGAAGAAGCCTCCAGAAGCTTCCAGGTTTTGGTCAAAGTCTGCCCATTGACCGAAGAAAAGGAGTCAAGGTCTTAGACATGTGCTCATAGCAACAAGACATGTAAATAAATGAAATGCATAGGCAATTCCATGCAAATGAAGCAAACAGTAAACAGAGGCAGAGCTTGAGATGGGAGGAGAAATGGGTGGAGCAGGAGGAGGGACGAAGGTGGAATGAATGTTAATGAACTTAAACCAAAATGTATAAATGTGGGAAAAACTATTGTTCAGTGCAGGTTCCATAGTTCATGGGCTATGTGTCTGTGAGGGACCCTTGTCCAAGGCTGTCTCCACTCTAAATAAAGCTGTTACAAGCAATGTGTGCAAGTAGCGTTTGCTCCCTGCTTGCTCTGGCTAATGAGTAAAGGGATCCATGAGCAACTGGATCATCATCTCCCTAGTCGTTGGGCGCCGCATGGAGTCAGGGTCTAACAGACATGTTATTGAAGAATCTACCATGCTAATTCCTGGGTATTTGTAAGAAATGGCTCAACCTTAAACAAACCTAGACTTTCTGTTTCTTTTTAGGATTTTATTAGGGGTCTCTCTATTTTACTCAGAGGCACAGTACAAGAAAAGCTCAACTGGGCTTTTAATTTATATGACATAAATAAGGATGGCTATATAACCAAGGAGGTAAGAATTTCTTTTTAGATTCATTAATTGAAACCACTGCCTGCATGTATGTGTTACTTATAGGAACCTGCCTTTGTGAAACTCTTGGTAAAAATGATGGGATTCATAGCAAATATTTTCTTATCAGATCAAGATTTTAAAAACAATTGCATTTAATGGAAACTTCCTTTAAAAGGATAGAGGAGAACAACCCAAAGTTTACATGCAAGCTATAAAAGACACAGCCAAAATTCTTAAAGCAGAAACGTGGTTGCATACATTTGTGTCCACGTATTTGCATTCAGTTACTAGACCTAGATAGGCTTTTTAGAGTACATAAAATATTTGTTCACAGAAATGCAAGTGAACATCTGCATATTTGTAAAGTCTGTCCCTGAGAATTTGTAGTTGGCACATAATGTATTAAAATGTTATTAGTTCTTAAGGCATTTATTCTGCAAGGATTTCCACATGTGCTTAACTTCACACATGGAACTACTCAAACATGAAGTGGAGTCTATACATTTATGTTTGAAAGACATTATAAATGTTAGTGAAGCAAAGATCTCTCAGCAACACACTTTAAGATGATTACAGTGTGGGTTTGTACAAATTAACTTTCTTATCATATTGGCACTGAATTACACATTTATAATTACACATAGCCTTTTTCATTCACAAGTCACAAAGTACTTCACAAAAGGTGGATTGGTATATGCATGTGTGTGTGTAATTTTCATGGATACTTGTTTGTGTGTGTGTTCCAGTTATATTCCCATGGTGAAAAAGAAGAAATTCAGGCACAGGTTATGGTGATAAGACTTACCCTGGGTGTGTCTACATGGAGATGTAGCTCATTGTTACAGTGACATAGCACTGGCGGGCACAAACCGCTCATTGCTTGTTGCTACTGCTCATTGCAGCAGGATCGGAAATGACCTGTGTACCACTGGAACTATGCAAGTAACAGTGGTACTAAATGACTGTTCAGTAACAGCTGTGTAGTCAGGGACACGTATAGACGCACACACTGTCACCTACCTTTTTCCCATTTATATTTTGTACATCTCAGGAGCCTTCTTTCCACATCTAATATGTTAGATCTTAAAGTATTTAAATTCAGATATATCAAAACATATTTAGTTAGAATTTTATCTTTTCGTTTCTATTATATGACCAGAAAAAGCCACAGTTACTAATTTAGAACGTCAATGCTGCCAGCATGCATTTACATTCTTGAATTTGTTCATGTGTTGACAGAGTCCCAGTGGACACATCTGCATGTGCACCGTTACCGCACAGTACAGGCGCACATCTACATGTGCATGCCCATACTGCACAGTAACTATGGTGACTTATGCTGATTTGGGAGTAAATTTACTGTGCAGTAAGGCACATGTAGACACCTTACTGTGAAGTAACCCTGTTCGTGTGGACTGACTTGGAAGTAACTTTACTCCCAAGTCGGGACACGCAGAACATTACTACACTGTAACTCCTACATGTGTAGACACCAATCTAAAAACTGCTTACTGAGCAGTAAATGCACGTGTAGACATGCCCAGTCTGTCTCAAATTGCACTAAAAACCTTTGCTACCCTGGTTCTAAAACACCATCATCATTTTATCCTGCCTTACATTAAAATGTGTTTTTCTCCTCAGGAAATGCTTGATATTATGAAAGCTATATATGATATGATGGGAAAATGTACTTATCCTGTTGTCAAAGAGGATGCACCTAGACAACATGTGGAAACATTTTTCCAGGTAGGATGAAAATAACATATAACTGCAAAAACAAAAATCTTATGAAAGTTTTACATTCTGATTAGCTAACACTTAGCACATCCTTTTATATTTGTTGTCTCCTTTTCTCTGTGTCTGTCCCAATTGACTTGTCTATCTGATCCATTCTGTTATGTCTCAAACTTGCTACAGCAGACCCTATCATTTATGACATGTTTATATACTCCCTTATACAATGGCGCCTGCCTTAACTAAGTATACCTGAAATAAATCATAAAAAAATAAGAGACTGATTTTCAGCAGGCTTTAAATAAGATTTAAGCATCTGTTCTTATTCTTCCTGGACAGAAAATGGACAAGAATAAGGATGGAGTAGTTACCATAGATGAATTCATTGAAAGCTGCCAAAAAGTAAGTAATGCATGATAAATGTGTAATGTATAGCCACTTCTATCACCTGGCTAACAGTCACACAATCCTACCAACAGGGTAGGGATATATCCCAAAGCACCTGCACAAATAATATGCACATACACACTTGCAAAAACCATTCTTCTCTATGCAAACATATACTTGTATTTATAGAACTGATGGGTAAAGACTGGCTTTCTTGCAACTATTCTCTTTGCATCAATCTTCCTGTGAAAAACTACCTTTTTTGGTTTGCAATACAAAAATAGTTTGCTATAGTGAACACTTATTTCAGCTTTGTGCCAATTGCATGTGAAGGGGAAAAAACTACTCAGGCCACAGTTTAGAAAGTATTAATTATAGAATAATTTAAAAATAAGAAACAAATTATTTAAAACATGATTTTGAGTTAGCCAAACACTTCTTTTTTTTGCAAAATAGAAATGGAAAAAATAATAAAACTGTCAGCTACTTTTTTGCCATTTATACATAGTCCATGGTGATAGATAATATAATAAAAGAGTATCACTGGCACATTCATACTGAATGACATTAGATCAAGTGTTGAGAGAGACACTATGCAAAATCCTATCAATAACAAACTAGAGCATGCAGGTTAATTTAGTTGTGAAAAGAAGTATGGTTTTAACAAAGCAAAACCAGTGCTTCTGACTGTATCAGTACCTAGCTGCAGTTAACAGTTGACTAGGGAAAGCATATCTATCAGAAAACAACATGCTGCAGACACTTTGTATTTGACAAGCTGTCTGGGAAAAGAAAAAGATACTACATAACTTATATATTATTTTGCCCTACATAATCATGGGAATGCCCTATTGGACCAAAAGCAAGACGCTGATTTAAGAGTGAAGATTCTTTAGATCTTTAGGAAATAGTGATGCCCTGGTCAAGCATAATAACTTGGGACCTATAAGGGACTTACGTATAGGGAACTGCGAGCAGTTGAAGCTACAGTAGGAAAGGACCAAAGTACAAAAATACAGTAAGTAAGTTTTACATGCTCCATAAAACAGAAATGTATCAGTTTCCTGAGGGGGTTTTTTGCCATTAATGGTTGACATCACATCCTAGATAACATTATGAAAAGCTTTTTTGCAAGAATCTTGAAACTCATTGGCATCATACCTTGAGAACTGAGAAAAATGAACTTACCAAAGCATACTGAACATTATCTAAATAACTTGAAGAAATGAAAGGTTGTTTGGTGACTTGGTCTTGCAGGGAATGCCACCCTCCCCACCCCTTCCCCCAAAAAGAACAAACATCCCCATGAAAGAATTATGAAGTCACCTCACTGTGAACATCATGATGATACCAGGTTTTCCCTGTGAAGAAGGAACTTAGGCAGAGTTACAAACTCTCTTCTCCTAGTTTAGTATCCTCTGATACACTGTGGGTGCACATTCATGTGCAATAAATGCAACGCAATAAACCCCGAAGCTTATTGCTCTCAGCTGTGCACCTGAGAGTAAAAAACTTCAGGGTTTATTGCCATTTAAACATGTACTCAGGAGTACAGCACATTGAGACATGTCGGAGCAGCCTGGGCGATCAGCCTGCCAGCCCGGGGGCTGTTCTCCCCAGATCAACGTGCTGCAGAGAGGCTGGCTGGGGCACGAGGATGCTTAAGCACAGGGCTAGCCAGTAAGCAGGCCCTGCATTGAAGCACCTTCATGGTCCAGGTAGCTGGGGCAGTGTCTACAAGTGTGCTGGTGCAGTTTTTCACTTGCATTTACAAATACTATCCTGATATGGAGTAAATTAGTTTACTTGTGTGTGTTTAGTAATGCCAAACTTCAAAAGAGTGAATTAGGCTGTGACAGAAAGTGCTGAAAAATGTAAGATTCCTTTTGGGAAAAATGATTGCTTTTATTAATGAAAATATTGCAGCTGTGATCAAGTCTGAGCATGAAGGCTCAAAGTACCCTTTTCAGTTTTTTATGACACTTACATAAGCCATGTTGTCAACTTAGCTGGAAGTATACATAGAAACATAATCTGTAAATGTTAACACTTACTAGTGAATAAGCCCGGCCTTTACAGCCTCTTGTTGCCACAAAACTTAGTTTTGTCTGAACCTCCAGGCAAGGAGAGGAGCATATAAATCTAATACCTACATACATACAAGGGAAAATGCTTACAATGTAAATTGTGCTGGTGGTAATCTCTAGGCAGAATAACTGGTCTTGAGATGTCCATTTCCATGCCAACAATACTGGGAACTAATGTGCAATTTTTTGAAAAAGAAAATGAATAGAAAGTTGTAGTTCAGCAGTTGAGCATTTGGTCACCTTGTGAGAAGGTGAGAGGAAATGCTTATGTGAAGATGAAAGACCGGTTCCACCAACAGAAGCATTTCATTCCAGGAATAATCTTGGCTCTTCCTATTCATGATAAAACAGAAATCAGAGTGTGTAAATCCCCAAATAATTTGATTAACCAGAGTAAACATAAAAATAAAATAAAATAAAATAAAATAAAATAAATCTTACAGCAGCATGTATGGTCTGCCAAGAAAGCACATCATGGAAGCAGTTAGAATAATTGGAACATATTTTTTGGTGATTCCCACTTTGCCAACCATCCACCAAACGCTAGATCCTATTCAAGCCGAACATTTTGATCTCACACTGTTTGAGGTGCTTCCTATTTCTGAAACCAAAACATTGGCAAAAAAAATTTATTGGCTTCATTAATTCACTTTTGAATAAGTTGAATTTTTGTGTTATTTAAATGACTGCCTTCCAGTATCACTGATTGCTACCTAGAGAAATCTATCAGTGCTCATTAACATTGATGAGGGAACATTTTCTTCTGCAAAGACATCTTCTGTGATGACAGGTATGTAGCAAGACTGTCATCCTTAGTCTGTACTTCAGAATCAAGTAAACTTGAATGGCAAGCACATTAGCTGCTAAAATTGTCAAGTAGTCAAAGATTTTAGAGACACACAGTGATCATGGTGTTAATAGAGAAATTGTTATTTGTTAGACCCCGACTCCACGCGACACCCAACGACTAGGGAGACAACAGATTAATGCCATCACGCATCACCTGCACAAATTGCTCTTCAACAGCTTTATTCAAAATGGAGACAGCTTCGGGCAAACCTCCAACAAACCAGGGAGCTGCCACAAACATTAGTTCTTCCCATATTTATATAACTTGATTCATGCTCATTAACATTTACTCCACCTTTGGTCCTCCTTTGTTCCACCCAAATTCCCTCCTACCTTAAGCTCCGCCTGTTTACTGTTTACTTTGTTAGCATGGAATTGCCTATGCATTTCACTTATTTACATATCGTTTTGCTATGAACGTATGCTTAAGACCCTGACCCCAGCTTCTTTTGGTCACTTGAGGCTTCTTCCTGATTTCTTCACTATCTCCAAGGTCTTGCTTCTGCTTTATCTCTAACGATAGCCGGTGGTCTGCATCCTGTTCTTGTTACACAATAAGCTATATATCTTATAACATTG